AGCCGATACGCAACGCCCCCTTCGCGAAACCCAAATACTCATCTGCATTCGCTCTAATAAGTGCTTTTGCAGAGACAGCTGGAGTTTATTCCATTTTTCCCCTTTAATTCCAGAGCCTCAGGGCATGCCTCCTCCAGAGGTTGTCATCATCAACAGCACAGCTGCACGTGTCATCTGGACGTCGCCTTCCAGCCCAAATGGCGTCGTCACTGAATATTCTGTCTGTGTAAACAACCAGCTCCACAAGACTGGGATGGATGTGCCCGGGTCCCTCCTCCTACCAGACCTGTCTCCCTTCACTGTCTATGACATTCAGGTTAGCACCTTGCTTTTTGATCATTAGGCTCATGGGTCTGTTAAAGAAAACATGCCAGGGTGTGTCTCCAAGTGTATACCTTCCATCTTGGTTACAGGTTATGTGTTTGGTGGGGAAGGAGAGAGGAAAGAGGGAAGCTGATCAGGGTTAAACCTGTGCACGGTGGGCAAACAGGTGAATCCCTGGAGAGAATAGAGTGATGATAATATGGGAAAAAGTGTGATGAGGACAGTGACATACATTATTATTAATTACCCCATGATTTCCATGACTTCACCCGAGTTATCTTAGCATTTATAAGAATGAGAAAAAAATATTGACCTATTTCTCCAAAGTCACAGATCTTCTGGACAGATTCATTTGAAGACCCCTAAGCTGTTTAGAACTTGAAGGTATACTTTATATTTAGATGACAAGGCGATAGGGTATATTAAAGCCCAAATAAGGTTTCTCCTATCTTACCAACTCAGTCAGATTCCCTGATTTCTCTGGCCCTCAGTTTGCAAACATATGAAAATGGAATTGTGAGGACTCAGTGAAGTTATTGCTGTAAGTACCCATCATAACGTCTGGCACGTATCATTTACATAATAAATTCAGTTGAGTTGATTTTGAGTTACCTCATTATGCACAGAGTCAAATGTTCCCTAATATGCATGAAGTTTTATTGTCATTAATTCCATTACCAGCAGGTATATTTTAAGTTCATCTGCCTTGAGGTGATTTGGGGTTTAATTGGACGGCCTTGATAGTGTTTAAATATCTACTAGATATTACCTCAAAATACTCGGTGGCATCAATGAATGGAAGTCAGTTAGCATTGGGAAAGGAACAGTTAGTTCCTCTTTGGTTTATCCTTGAATTGAGAACAGAATGATGTCATTTCTTGGATGTTCCAGGCGCGATCTTTTGTACATTCAATTCTCTCTCCTCCTCTTGCTGAACGTGTTCTTTTGTTTTAATAATGCTTGATGAACCCAATTTTTAAACCCTCCTCGGTTTTTATTCAGCTGCGGGGGAAGAATTTAAAAAGTAAATGATGAGTTTCTACTGGGATTAAGGTAAAAATACTGGATCAAATGGATATAAAAGAACTCAGCCATATTGGAAAACTTCTCTAGGTCTTGTGTGTTTTTTTTATTTTTTATTAGACATTCGCATTTAGGCCATGTGTTGGAAAGTGTCAAGACTCCCAGAAGGTACCATTATTATACTACCTGGTTATGGCTCTGAGAGCAGTACACAGTGATGACTATTATGCTTGAAACTGTCCCCTAGGCATCTTCCATCCCTTACCTGGGCTCCGAATAGATCGATATGTCTGTCTCTTTCCGAATGGTTGGGAGGAGGGACTACACATCACCATTTAAGTCACTAAATCAATTGTCCTGAGCCCACTTCTGCACTCTATTCTTGCACTCTATGACTTGTCCCACTGGAGTCAATTAACACCAAAAATTAATATTTAATTAACCCCGACAGGCTGTTAAGAGATTCATATGACATGAAGGTGGGTGAGATTCAGTCATTGACAGTCTGGATTTTGAAAATAATTGGATCCATGCTTTTCTCAATTACTATTTGCAGGTCGAAGTCTGCACAAAATATGCCTGTGTGAAAAGCAATGGGACCCAGGTCACCACCATGGAAGACACTCCAAGCGATATGCCAGCGCCCACAATTCATAGCATCACTTCGAGGTATACATGTTTTTTCTCACTCAATCTAAAGAACTGAACATAAACAATGAAAATCAAAATATAAGATATTATCCCAGCCATGACAATGTCATTTGAGAAGTTTCTATCAGTGTGTGTGTAGAGTGAATTTTTGACATTATTTGGTTGATCTTCACTGGACACGTCCCATGACATTGAAGCTTTGATGGCCCTGTCCCTGTTTGCCCAGCTTCACTTCTCTTTATTTAGTAACCTGTGAACAAACGCTGAGAGCATGAAAGAGTGTCTTTATTTCAATGTGTCCTTCAGTGAATCGTTTTGTGAGACACGGAACGCAATTTTAATTAGAATGACTCCCTTTCTGACTGAATCTCTTTGAAAATATTAGACTTCCATCTATCAGATTGCCCCAAAGCTACAAATATCTGTAAAATAAATGGGGGAGATAATGTTTGGATAACCATTACCAATTTTATCAGGTTTGGGGTAGAATCCTTTTAGTTTTTTGTAGGCTTTTGTTGTTGAGAAATGGCCGTAAGTTGAAAGTGCGTCTCTTTTCAATTCAAAATTAGCAATAACAACAATACTAAAAAGGAGATTTAACATGATTTCCCAATTCAAGGGAGACAGAAGTTGTTCATTCCTCTATATCAGTGGTTCTCAACCTTGGCTGCACATTAGAATCACCTCGGAATCTTTTTAAAATCCTGATTTCTGGGCCCCATCCTCCGGAAATTCTGTTTCTTCGTTACTAATGTTGCGGCCCCGCCCCATAACAAAGAAACAGAATTTCCGGAGGATGAGGCCCAGAAATCAGGATTTTAAAAAGATTCCCAGGTGATTCTAATGTGCAGCCAAGGTTTGAGACCACTGCTCTATATCAAGTGGAGACTAGAGATAGAAGTCTGGGCACTTTTCACATCATACAGGGGTAGGCAAAAGTACACTTACAATTATGAGTATGCAAAACACAGAATTTATTCTTGTATTATTATTTGTTCATTATTGTATTATTTTTCATATGAACAACTATAAACCTACTTTTGCTCCAGCCAAATGAATCACCCTTCACACACACACACACACACACATACACACACCACCACATACACATACACTGACTAAAATAATCAATCGATTCTAACATATTTCAGTTCTGAAGGATTCCTTTATGTCATATTAAAATTTTTAGGTCTTTTTAAAAATAAGTTAAAAAAATGCCTGTACTAATTTGGGGGACAAGTGATTAAAAGCAATTAGAAAAACCCAGGTAATTGGGTTCTTAGCTGTTCAGGGCAAAGTCATATCGTCCCTTCCTAAGGCACAGCTTCTCTCAAACACATGAGAGATATCTATCTGATTGGTGGTGTGTTAATTAAGTGATAACCTCCTCAGCAGATTTCCCCCAACTTTCCAGAGGATTGCTTACTATCCAGGGGGGAAATGGCCAAGTGAAAGGGACTCCGGAGACCTTTATTCTTTCAGCAAACACATCTGTGGCTACAGTCATGAAAGAGGCAAAAGTAATACAAAGAAGAATAAGGCATGGTTCTAAATTTTCACAGTTCCCGCCTACTGTGGGAGACACTGTGCTAAAGAAATGTTTTTAGGACAATGTGAAAACCCGCAACAGAAATTCACAATGTGCAAGAAATGCATAAAGAGAAAATACCAAACTCTACCCCTGATCACCAGTAAGGCATCGTGGAAGATTGAGGGGGGCAGGGAAGATTGTCAAATTCCTAGTCTGTTAGCATCCCCATGACTCAAACCCAGGTGAATGGCACAAGGGAATATAGCTTAGATTACATATTATGTGTAACTAAACATAATATATAAGCTTTATTAGAAATTTAACAAATGCCCATATGTGTCTCTGTCTCTAGAATATTTTCTTTCCTTTAAGGAGATTCTTGCAGATGATAACTGAGGGAAAATATTTTGTAGTTGTGGTTGATGATTGCTTATCCCCAAATATATTAAATTGATGGCAAAAACATTAGGGAGGATATTAAAGAACCGAGCAAGGAAAATGACAGCGCAGATAACAGAAGAGAGATTTGGACACAATTCTGGAAGCAGTGCTTGGCAGGGAGAGGCAAATGGTTGTTCAGTGGAGAAATAGACAACCAAAATGTTGGTTGGCAGAGGGGGATAATGACATAAAACAAGCTCATTTGCACTGCAGGGAACCCTAGTGTCTGAGGTCTTGCAAGCTTTGAGGCTTGTGAAGACGGGGAAGCTGGGATAAGGGTGAAAGCGAAAATCCTGGGATTAGCTGAAACTCTGATGAAAAAGTGGTTGGAAACTATAATTACTCTGGGTTCTCCAGAGAAACAAAACCAAAAGTGAAGACTCGGGAAAGCTTTGGACCAAGTTCAAGTCCAGAGGTTTTGAGACTCGGAGGAGCTGATGGTGGAAATCCTAGCCCAGGCCTGGGAGTGGAGAACTGATGGCTTAGCTCAAGGGGTTGAGCAGATGGAGGGAATTTTCCCTTCCTCCACCTTTTTGTTCTGTCCAGACCCTCCGCTGGCTGACTGATGCCCACCGACTTGAGGAGAGCTACCTTCTTTAAGGAATCCACCAATTCAGATGCTAATCTCGCCAGAAACATCCTGAAATACCCAGAAATATGGTTTAGCCAAATAGCGTGGTACCTTGTGGCCCAGGCAAATTGATATATAAAATTAACCATCACAGAATTCAAGGTTTCGACCTCTATATTATGCACCCAGGTGTCGGTTTTCTCTTCCTCCATGTGGCATAGTCCACCTCCCAGAGGTCAGAAGTGTATTCTCTAGAGAATAAAGAACAGTGGAAAGCTGGGAGGAGAGGCCAAGGGGAAAATCTTGATAAAGAGGAAGACTATGGCTGCCTTCCCCAGCTCTGTCCTTAAAAACAAGTATCTAGTCATAAATGCCCTGACAGGAAATTGGACATTCTTCTCTGGAAAAGCTTGCATGGCCCCACATGAAATATTTCCAGAATTTTGCAGGTGGGATCCCCTAATGGAAGAGACATTCATAGGGAAGTATATCTATCAGCAAACCCCACTCATACATAAAGCTTTGGGTCAGCTTTTTTGGAACATGGCTGTCAAAGATTAAAAGAACCAAAATAAGAGAAATAATTCAGTAGATGCAGAGGTAATGCTAAGAAAAAATTATATTAGCCTCAAAGAGATAAAAAAAAGATTATCTATGGAACAAACAAAATTTACTTGGATAAAAAAAATAAAGAGAAAATTGGGGAGAGGACCTCATGAAAATTAAAAATGGAACAGCTAAATTAAATTTTTGGAAGAAACAGGAAAGTCTCTAAAAGTGCAATAAAAAGCAAAGATGTCAAGAAAAAGAAAGTAATTATTGAGGAAATTAGGAAAAAAATCTCCAGAATATCTAGTATGTGGATAATAAGAGTTCCAGAAGAGAGAGCAGGAAAGAGGGGGGGAAAGTAAATGATAAGAAAATATCCCAGAACTAAACACACCAGCGTGCAGATGAAGAGTCTGTAGATACCAGCATAACCGCTGAAAAAAGAGCCACATAAAAAAGAACCCCACCCTAACCGGTTTGGCTCAGTGGATAGAGCATCAGCCTGCGGACTGAAGGGTCCCAGGTTCAAAAACGGTCAAGAGCATGTACCTTGGTTTTGGGCACATCCCCAGTAGGGGGTGTGCAGGAGGCAGCTGATGGATGTTTCTCTCTCATCGATGTTTCTAACTCTCCCTCTCCCTTCCTCACTGTAAAAAAAATCAATAAAATATATTTTTTTAAAAAGAGCCCCATAAAGGGACATTGTCAGGAAATTTCCAAATCCAGAGTTTCCTGGAAGATAACACACAGCATTGGAGTTTGAACAGCATTATGCATCTTCTCCAGTGATGGCGAACCTATGACACGCGTGTCAGAGGTGACACACGAACTCATTTTTTTGTTGATTTTTCTTCGTTAAATGGCATTTAAATATATAAAATAAATATCAAAAATATAAGTCTTTGTTTTACTATGGTTGCAAATATCAAAAAATTTCTATATGTGACACGGCACCAGAGTTAAGTTAGGGTTTTTCAAAATGCTGACACACCGAGCTCAAAAGGTTCGCCATCACTGTCTAAACCGTAGCATTCGTGGCCAAAATGCAATGCCTCCAAATTCTGAATTAAAAAGAAACCGATATTTCATCTTCTCATTCCATACTCAATCAAATGTCACTTACATTTGGGCTGAGAATAAAAGCAGTTTGAGACTTTGTGAAGAGAAAAGGTTAAAAACTGACAAGGATGCGAGGAGAACCCCCTAGTGCCAACAATGAATGCAGCATCTGGAAAGATCCCGGGTTTCCTGCATTTGCTTACTTATTTTTTATTATTCTCTTGCATTTTACAATCTATTTTTAATTTACACAGAGTAAGATGTACTCTTTCTTTGCTCCAGCTTCTGTGAGTTTTGACAAATGGGTAGAGTTGTGTAAATACTACCACAGTCAAGAGATAACAGAGTTCATGTCGAAATATTCCTTCACTCTACACTGTTGATAGGAAAACCGCTCAGTGAAATTTTAATAGCACGTCAGCCTGTCAGATTGCACATCCAGGGTGTGTGATCTTTGCCTTTGGCCTTTCACACCTGGCTTTTGACAACAACTTCTTCAGTTCAAGCACTTACACATGTTTTCCTCTTACATGTAAACCAAAGATGCCTTCGCACACACGTAAAGATCAGATGAACCCTTCTCATTCTCTAGCCTCCTCCTCCAGAAACACACTGTGTCTGTGTCACATTTTCCATACTTGTCATATTGTCATCAGCAGCTTCTGGATCCCCAAAGAATACTAACTACTGATCAATAGCCCGGACATGTCTGGCCATGGCCTACACGTGCCCTGGGTAGTTCATTTATTTGCCTTGGTGGGTTGGTTAGAGTGGAATTTAATCAATAGCTGATTCATTAATTCTGGTCCAAAGCAGTGAGGGTAGACACCGCTTTGGATGAAGAGAGCTGACCAGCTCTGGCTTTGATTGAAATATGACAAGCGCTGTGGCCGACAGCTTCCCTGGGCACCGGGCTGCCTCTGACGTTTACTTATTTATGCTCCACGAATGTATCCGATAAGGAAAAGCAGAAACAAGGAAGAGATTTTACTACATTACTGCTCGTGTTTCAAAATGCATGATTTCCCGGCACGAGGCTCAAGGGAGAGGAGAGAGAAGGCAGGTCGCGTCTCTGGCTGCCTCTAATTGGAACCGTGGCAGTGTCTCCCCCAGTTCCACATCAGTTTGGGGCTGTATTATTGATGAGAAGTCTGGGGCGTAATGTCTTTGTAGCATTCACAAATAATTGTTTAAAAAATTTGCCTCGAGCTACTGAATGATATAAATGATAGTTTTACACACCAACTTTGCAGGCGTCTTTCTGGTAGCAGCTCAGCCTGGGTGCCTCCAAATGAAGGTTGAACACCTGCCCTCATTTACAAATTCCCCCTGTATGTCCCAGGTACTTAGCGTGGGGTTGAGTAAGGTGAGAGAGTCATAGCTTGTGGAAGAAGATTCTTCCCCTTTTTGCCTCACCAAAATTGAGGTGAAACTTTGAAACCTCTATATTTTCATGACATGGGATATCAAGGAATCTCCCGTATCCTTAATTTTCCTCCCTGATTTTTTTAGGGACTGGCAACTTGAATGCTGAATTTAAAATTTTACAGTTAAAAAAATTAATCCACCTCTTCTCTTCTTTCTTTTTCTTTTCTTAATAAGCAGAATATCAGTCTGTAGGTGTAGAATGTCCAATCACTCCTCCTTTACCCATATTGTCAATATCCTCTCTCAGCAATGTGGACAATGGCAAATGGCTTTTAATTTGGACTGGAATTTTATGCTCAGTTCTTGAAAGGGTGTGGGAAGAACTCTTGAGAGAGAGAACGTGGAGGGTGTTTTGTATTATTGTACAGATGAAATCAATAGTCATAATTGCTTTGAGGAAATTTTATTGTTGTGATGGCCAATGAGTTCTGATGGTCAAACTCATTGCTTGGTGAGGAGACGTAACAGAGTATTGAGCTCATTCTTGGGTCTCTTGCACCACGAATTCCTTTTATTCACCTGCCTCTCTTCCAAACTCCTGATTTCTCTGCCTTCTGTGGCTCCTATAGAAGAAGCTCAATGACTGAGGTCGCCTTTGTGCAACTCTCAGCAAAATCCAGTTCTCCCTTCTAATTAACTCCGATCCCCGGCTCTCTGAACACGCATTGGTTCCTTCCATTGGTTCCTTTCATTGGTTCCATTCCAAATCCACTCTTTAATTGGGGGTGTCCTCAACAGAATCTCAGAGATGTCCTTCCTCCATTTCAAATTGTCACCCAAAAAGATCTCTCAATATCGCCCTATTTGCTTCTAATGAGAAACGTGGAGGGGTTGAACCCATGACTCCTCAATCATTTATCTTCCTGTACCTGACTCAGATCCTCAAAAGCAGAACTGTTCATGGCACTGCTAAAAATAGAGGTGGTCTCATTTCAGTTACGCTGTGCAAGGAAGACAAGTATGATGGCATGGTGTTCTACACGTGTTTTCTGGACTTCACTGATTCACTGGCTTTTGTGGATAAGTCAGACCCTGGAATGTCACTTACACATAGTCTTTTCTGTCGTTGATTATGCAGTGAATACAAAAGAGGTATCTTCAAAATGGGAAATGAATTCTGGGAGTTGGACAAAGACCACAGAATAAGAATGGTGGCTATACAAGTCTCCTATGAAACTGTGCTCTTACACGTGACATTAGTGAATGTGTTATGTTTGTGCCCTCAAAAATGAAATAACTTTCTTTTCTTTAAAAGCAGTCTATTAAGATGTCAAGGTTTATCATGATTGCTGCTTTTTAATGTAAATGTTTGGGCTTAATTGAATTCCTGATAGGGTCCAGTAATTTGGTCTGTAATGATATATTTCTCCTTAAAATGAAAAATATGACAAAAATATTTATTTTACACAATGACAGAAAAGTGACTAACAGTTATTCGTAAGATTTTAGTGTAAGATCTTTAAAGATACGAACTAATAAACTCAGATGCTCTTTTTAAAAAACATTTTTATTGATTTCAGAGAGGAACAGAGAGATAGAAACATCAATGGAATTAGTAAATTGTTATGATTGGAAATTCTACAACTGCACAAATAGGGTTAATTTTGAATGTCAACATTCCACCCTTTAATAAAACAATAAGAACAAAAAATTTTTGTTACCAGGAGGTCACAGATTAGATTCCTGGTCAGGGTACATGCCCAGGTTGGGGGGCTTGATCACCGGGGGGGGGGGGGGCATGCAGGAGGCAGCCAATTGATGACTCTCTTTCATCATTGATGTTTGTATCTCTCTCTCCCTTTCCCTTCCTCTCTGAAGTCAATAAAAATATATTAAAATAAAGTTTTTATTGATTCTCCAAAAATGTGATATGGTAGTAGCATATATGAGTATATATGTTAACATATACATATTCTCTTGCTGCAGCTTTTTGATTAGGAAGTTAACAGATGTAAACCTTTAGAACAAACTGGAAGATAAATTGAAAAGTACGTGAGGTTGACGGCAGCAATGGTAAATGTTGTCTTTGCGGAAATATTAATTATTCTCTCTGTTACAGATCCCTTCAAATTGATTGGACGTCCCCAGGGAAGCCAAATGGCCTCATTCTGGGATATGATGTCTTCCGCAAATCATGGTCCCCGTGCCCTGAGACCCCGAAAGCTCACAGCAGTGAGCTCTGCAAGGCAGTGCTGTGTCAAAAGCCTGAAACTACCTGTGGACACAGGTGCTATGATCCTGAGGCTAAGGTAAACCTCTTCAAGCCCATCCATGTAATCTCTTTTTCCCACCGAACACTCCAGGTGGAATCACTTGCTTCTTAAGCCATGATTTGTCATGATCGGTATTTCCCCCAGTCTATCAGGAGACCCCACGGCAGAGAAAGGATGCTTATCAGAACCCTGCCGTCCTCACGGAGCATTGTAGCCTTCTCATTTTTCATCGTCTCCCCAGGAAATATTAGTTTATTGAAATAGTAAGGATCCTCCTGAATGTGTATTTGATGGAGTGACTTGAATTTTTTTTTTTTTTTGTACAACAAATCCATTCAGCGACAAGTGGGTGTTTGTTTACATGACACTGATGAGTCACTGTGAGCAGGGCCTTTCAAGGTTTGTCAGAAATATTTTAAAATTATGGCCATTTGCAGATTAATGTTCCTGTTAGTTGCAGTTTAGGAATCAGATCAATAGCACAGCCAGACGGAGGAGTTTGTAAATGGCCTTTATTGACAAACGATGCAGAAAATTCTCAGTTTGAAGGTAGAATGAAAGAGCGTTCCTATTTATCAGCAGCATCGCCCCTTTAATGACAGAAGTAACTACTACATCCAAAAGATTCACTGCAAAAGGGTGCAATAATTAAGAACGTGAGTTTTGGCAGCAGTATGGGTAAAACACAAATTACTAAGCTGACACTGGCTAGGTAGTAGTCATCATCTAAGCAAGGTTATAAAACTAGCTGTTACAAACTAACCTTTTTTATGCTCAGTCTCCAAAATTGTCACTATGACTAAGTTTTACATCATTTCAGGCTACTAGTTGTGCAGTTGGATTCTCAGAGCTACCTGAACCACCACAGGGATAGGCTGAATTTAAGACTTTAAATTTATTTGCTCTTTCGGAACTTTTCCAAAATGAATGAAGTACTAAGCTAGTGGCCCTTCGGAAGACTGGGAGAACCCACCTTCTTCTCCTGTATTGAGCTTGAGTCAAAGGTTGGCGCAAGCTTACAAGAAGCAGTGAGCAAAAGGGAAAGAAACACGTTGTAAATAGTGGTGGATTTGGCTGTCACAGGAAGGCTCTATCCAGTTCACATCACGTGCCAAGTATAGATTCTGAGGCGACACTTCAGCAGCAGCTCAGGGTTTCATCTGTTCTACATAGAGTATCCGTTTCTCAGACCTCCAGTGCATGCAGATAATTATTTGATTGTTCAAGCACATAATTCCTTCCACAGCTCCTGGAGAAAACACACATGGTTAAAGGGCTTGTCGAAATTAATTTCCATAGAGATGTTCTCTTTTTAATGTGACACATATATATACACACACACATATATATACATATATGTGTGTGCGTATACTATATATGTAAATGTTGAACTCTTTTAAGATCCCCTTGTCTGAAGATTGGGTTCATAAATACGTGGTCATAATAATTATAAGAAAAATGCCATTTTTTTAACAAAAGAAAAGCAAAGATCAGTGAGAATCAGGTTTCCATAGATGTGGAATTAAAATAAACAACCATTAAAATAAAAACATATACATGAAGGAAATTGTTCATTTATAATTCTAAATCATCTTTCCATTGGAAGCATTGACATTCAAAATGTCATTCATGTTTATGGAATATTCTAATAGAGCACAGAGCATGGTTGAAGGCTAAGAAGTTACATTATATCAACTAGCACAGGGATCCTCAAACTTTTTAAACAGGGGGCCAGTTCACTGTCCCTCAGACCGTTGGAGGGCCAGACTATAGTTTAAAAAAAAACTATGAACAAATTCCTATGCACAATCATCTTTCCATTGGAAGCATTGACATTCAAAATGTCATTCATGTTTATGGCATATTCTAATAGAGCACAAAGCATGGTTGAAGGCTAAAAAGTTATATCATCTAGCATTTAGGACCCAATGATGCTGGGGAAATGTGTGTTTCAATGTTTGAATTTTTATCAAACATATGCTGTATTTGGTCTCCTAGCACTGTCTGTTAGAAAATGATTATGTCGCAGGAGATAAGGTGGTATAATAGTCTTAACTGATATTCCTTTAAACCCGGCTCCCAACCTTCAGGTTTGCTGTGCCGGCGTGCTCCATGATGCCCAGCCCGGACACCACTGCTGTGAGGAGAAGTATATCCCTTTGGTTCTGAATTCAACGGGAGTGTGTTGTGGCGGCCGCATCCAACAGGCACAGCCAGACCACCACTGCTGCGCGGGGTATTACGTTAGAGTTCTGCCAGGTGAGGGTTGTCGCAGGGATACCTGGTCATCCTGGGAATGAGAAGAAGCAAACACCTCCCCCCAGGAAATGCAATCACTCACACATAGCCAATGGCCGGCTTGAAACATCTTTTCTTTTTTAAAATATATTTTTGTTGATTTCAGAAAGGAAGAGAGAGGGGAAAAAAAACCATCAATAATGAGAGGGAATCATTGACCAGATGCCTCTTGCATAACCCCTTCTGGGGATGGAGCCCGCAAGCCGGGCATGTGCCCTGACCTGGAGTTGAACCATGACCTCCTGGTTCATAGGTCGATGCTCAACCTGGTTCACTGAGCCATGCTGGCCGGGCAACATAGCTTTAGATATATGTTCCAGTATATCTAAAAATCTTATTATTGCTATTGTCAGTTACTTTTTTATCCTGGAAAAGCCATTGAGAACAACTTTTTGTTTCCCTACCACCTAACTTTAATGCTTGTGTCTTCTTTAAAAGCCCAGAAATAGATATGGGAGAAAGAAAAGAAAGGTACGTGTTTGGATGCCCAATTAATGCTGAGTGCTCTGAAACATTTAGTTTAACATAAAATGTATGCCAGTTATCTAGTTCATTAGATGTTGTTCAGGGTCCCTTGTGTTTGGTGGACATATATCCATCTAAGGCAGTGATGGCGAACCTATGACACGCGTGTCAGAGGTAACACGCGAACTCATTTTTTTTGGTTGATTTTTCTTTGTTAAATGGCATTTAAACATATAAAATAAATATCAAAAAGATAAATCTTTGTTTTACTATGGTTGCAAATATCAAAAAATTTCTGTATGTGACATGGCACCAGAGTTAAGTTAGGGTTTTTCAAAATGGTGACACGTCGAGCTCAAAAGGTTCGCCATCACTGATCTAAGTTGTGTAAAATGAAACATTATCTCACTTCGTATCTCTTTGTGAAACACTGGAGTAAAAAGGGAAGGTGAAATAATCAAATACGATGTAAGTTAATATAAGGTTGAGGTCCTCTATTCTTCATAACTGTCCCTTAAAGTTTATAGAAAAACCTGTCTTTGAAGCAGGCCTGTTATTCTGATTCTCACCAAAAAAAGTACTTTCATAATTAAATAACTTAACTAGATTTTCCAAGTAAGAAAACAGGATATGATGGGAATAGAATTTTGTAGATTTCAGTGTCAGCTTCCGTATACTGCAAACCACAGTATGAGCAACTAGTCCAACACTGCCAAAGGCTTTAGGGTACATTACACTGAAGGAGTTTTCAGCTATAGTTCCTATCTCCCCTCCCCTGAAAAAAAACATGTCCTTAAAATTGTAATTACGTAGTTGAGAGAGAAATTTTCTGTTGTCCCAGTCTTCAAACTAAAAGACCATAGTAGGCTTTGGTCTAAGTGTAGCATAAAACTACATGGTAGTGTTTTCATTTCTAAGTCGCATTAAAATGTATGCTGTTATTTGCTATTAACTGTTCAAACTCTGAAAAATATCCTCTATCCCTTAAAATGGATGAAAAAATGCTTGGTTGCATCTACCACAGCTACGCACATGGAGGAGACTTCTCATTTCTAACACAAAGAGGCAGATTTCGAGCTAAGACAATAGTCTGGGTTTGTTCTGTTTCCAAATAAAATTTGACCTATTTTTCCTAAGAATGGTATAAATCCTGGAAGCCCAAAGATTATTAATATTATACGAAACTTTTTAATTTTTAAAACAAGATCTTTTAAAACCTCCATGATCTAGATATTGACACAGGCTCACTCAGACCTCAAGCATCTGGGCATCTACCAGATGTTGAACAAGGCCCACATCCTTTTAAATTGTCCCTTTTTCATAGCATTAGAATGTCTATACCATGATGTCAAGAGAAAAAATACATACAATCCTATGGGAACATGAGAGTGTTTTGCTCCAGTCATGAATCTCAGTGTAACTAAACGAAGAGATTATATTGTGACCTCTGCTCAGCCACTGGTCTTCGTTATCAGTTTAACACTGTTTACATCAAGTAAGAAAGAACACTAACCCCCTAACTATCTTGTATGGAAATGCAATTAAAACCTAATCAGTTGTCTGCCTGTTCAAGGCTGAGATGGGTATATGCATTCCGATACGTATAGATGAGTTTGATATTTATAGAGGAGTCTGAAGTATTGGTTAATAATACTTAGTTTATTTTTTTCTCACAACTTTCCTTCATAGCACCCACAACAAAGAGCAACAGAGAAAAGAATGCTCATGACTCCCCCCTCTTTTTTATAAATATGCTAATGACCTCAAGCTAAATGTTAATGCGGGTCATTCTTTGATAAGACTAACAATTAACAGTTGAGACCACGGGGTAGCTTTTAGAGAGAAAGCATTTTCAAGCCAGTGGTAGAATAGATTCGTTTTTGAGAGGTTAATGAGAAGGTGACTGATCTTTGAATCTTAGGTCTAATAGGCCTTTTCTGAGAGGAAAAAATCAGTTTTACTTCTCATTGATGTAATCCACATCTTTTATTCTTCTGTCAGTAACGCAATGAGATTCTGAGGGATTCGGGGAAATATGGCTAAACTATCCAGACCAATTATTTGTTCTACTCAAAAGTGGTTTTTTTAAAAAATTGTTGGCTTTCCCCAATATAGACATGTCTGCTGTGTTTTCTCCGAGCCCACCCTTCTCCTAAGTGCAGTTTAATTAAGTGGTGCTGCCCCTGCACCACGTGACACATTGTGTTAAAGGAAGTCCGCCAACAAGGGGCCCTCTGTTCCCGAGCTGTAGGATCTAAGAAATATGGCAACTATATTTCAGACCAAAGTGAAGAATCCTTTTATGCAGAGGAATATGAGATACAGTGACTGTACTCTCCATTTCTTCCTCACTGGCCTCTAGTAGTGTTATCGGAGAAATGCGTGGGTTTCCATTGCGAGTGCGAGTGGGGTTCTTGGGGTACCCCTGGAATAAGCATTTCCAGAGAACCCCAGGGGAGGATGGGATAGGGTAGAGTCCTCGCCCTCCTGTTATACTCTATATATCTATCCAGAGTGAAAGAGTGTCCCACATTTTTATATCCTTCTAGTAAGTGATTTGTCTTGCTGTTACTAACCAAGTCTCAGCATTTCTTGACCTCACAGAAAGATGAACTAGTTGATATGTATCAGGGAGTTCAGGACTATACATTTCTTTTTAAAAAAATATATATTTCATTGATTTTTTTACAGAGAGGAAAGGAGAGGGATAGAGAGTCAGAAACATCTGTGAGAGAGAAACATCGATCAGCTGCCTCCTGCACACCCCCTACTGGGGATGTGCCTGCAACCAAGTCACATGCCCTTGACCGGAATCGAACCTGGGACCCTTCAGTCCGCAGGCTGATGCTCCATCCACTGAGCCAAACCGGTTAGGGCAGGACTGTACATTTCTAAAGCAACCCCAACTTAAGAAGGTTTGGCAAGTCATTAGCCAGATGGTATAAGTCTTGTCTGGACCATGGTTTAATAAGACCTGCCAGGTTGGTCATCAGACTCACATCCCTTATAAAATAGGAAGGAATACTGTCCAAGGAGAAAGGTGTGTTTGAGAAGGGGCAGTGGAGGAGAGGGGAGAGGGTCTGTTAGAGATACAGGAAGGAGGAAAGGAATAAGACAAAGGAGGGGAGGAAATCAGGACTCAGGGGACAGGAGGGAGGTCAACCCAGAGTGGGGTCATGAGGTAGAAACGAAAGGTGAAGTTTGAATTTTAGATCCACCAAGTTGCTCCTACTCCTCTCTAAGGTATCCTTAGGGAAAAGTAATGTATTTTGAACTCTTTGATTTCAAGATACCAGGAAAAAGATGGTTTTTACCTCAAGTCTCCCAGAACATCATGTAAAGGGGAATGTGTGTAGAACTACTGTAGTGAAATTCCGTGTCTGCCACTGCTCCCAAAATACTAGTGTGCTGGTTTAAATATCGTATTTTTACCTCCTCTCATTTGATCAACCTTCCCATTGGAAGTATTTTGTTTGGTTAAATAAATACAGTGTGGAATTACAATCATAGCTGTTACAAATGTATCGAGAGTTAATTTCTGACTCTACCCACATTCCAAAAAATTACACTACACAGGAAAGTATTTGTAGACAAACTTTTTCTGTGCTGTCCCTGAATCCACATCACCAAGTCTGAAGTGCTCATTTATGAGGGGTCAGAGGAACTAGATAACCTCTAAGCTGACATGCGTGTGGGTGAGCAGACACAGGTATTCCTATGTCTTTAATGCAAGCATGTTGGAGTTGCATTGAGAAGTTGCAACTCCAAAACGTCAGTGTTCTTTCTAGCAATTCTCTCAGCCAGTCGGCATCTGCAGGATGACTGCGCTACAGTTTCGTTGTGTCAGAGCAGATGTTCTTATCTCACGCGATGCTGGTTCTTGCCCTCCACTGGCAGGTGAGGTGTGCTGTCCAGATGCCCAGCACCACCGGGTCGCCGTGGGCCTGGGTGACGCCTGCTGCGGCCGGATGCCCTACTCCACGGCGGGCGTGCAGGTGTGCTGCGCGGGGAGGCTGCGGGACGGCCATGGCCAGCAGTGCTGCGGGGGACAGCTGGTCAGCAGAGAGGCCCAGTGCTGCGGGGGAGCAGACGGGGGCGTGGCGTACAGCCGCCTTCCAGGTGAGGGGCCTCGCCTGCCTTTCAGTAATGGAGCAAATGAGAAGCAGAAACAGTGAGAGACAAAATACAGCCACAAGCAAACCACATCCCATGTTCGTTATTCCCCGAGCTGGGTTCTGTGAGCTTCATGTACATGAGCATCTTTAATCCTCACGGCAAGCCTAGGAGGTAGGTACTGTTATTATCTCCATGTTACAGGTGAGGAAGCAGAAGCACTTTTTTTTCTTTTCTTTTCTTTAAAAATATATATTTCATTGATTTCAGAGAGGAAGGGAGAGGGAGCGAGAGAGAAATATCCATGATGAGAGAGAATCGTTGATCGGCTGCCTCCTGCAAGGCCCCCACTGGGGATGGAGCCCACAAAATGTACCTGCAATTTCATATGCCCTTTAAGCCCATTCGTGAGCCCAAATTTCAGAATCACTTCTCCGCTTGCTTCCCTGTGACACTGTGCTGGTCAGATATTTTGTAAGCAAATTGTGACCTTCCCCACCTCCTGTGAATCCAGGTGCGCGCTGCAGTTCCTCATGACAGTCTTCATTTCTGGCCACCACGGTAGACCGAAGGGATGATATTTTTAAAGAGGAAAAAAAAAATCCCTCTTCTCTTGACCTTCCTGCAGGTTCCACTGGAAATAGACACGTTTCCCCTGTCGTTTTCGCGCTCTCTGCTGCCTCTCCTCCTGTCGC